CAAGTGCAAATTCATGATTTCTAAATGTTTGAGTTGACGAAAACCTGAAGCAGAGCAGACCATTTTCTTCCCCATATAAGCATCATCAGAGAGGATCAGACGCGCTAAATTAGGAAGCTTTTCCAAGGTTGGCATAGGATCTTCTTTAAGATGAGAATTATTAAGTACCAACTGAGTTAATTTCTGAGAGATTTCATCATATGGTGGTAGGTGGCCAGTATGTCCTTTGAAGTGCAATGTTTGAAGTACTTCACACCATAAAAATTCTCGTAAAACTGAATGCCTTTCCTCCGAGTAGCAATCCAAATCAACGATATCCGAATGCATAAGTATACTTGAACTCCAGCATATTATAGTGGAGTTCCAGGATAGTATGCTGGAACTCCAGCATAATATAATGGAGTTCCAGCATAAATACACTAGAACTCCAGCATAATATACTGGAGTTCCAGCAAGTATAATGGTCCAGTATAATATACTGGAGTTTGGAGCACCAGTGCTCCAGTCTCCAGTATATTATACTGGAGCCAGCAAAGTATACCGGTCCAGCATAATATGCTGGAGTTCATACACAAAGTGCACCGAAACTCCAGTATATTATGCTGGACCGGTCTCTATTGCAGCAAAACGGTGGCTATTTTTCATTGACTTGGTAAACGCTTGCTATTTTTGATGGAAGATATAAATGTTTTCATTTCCTCATCTTCCATAGCACGTCTGCAACAACCATTTCGGTTGATTCTTTCACTCTCAGATCAAGTACTTGCAAGTGCACCAATTTTCCAATAGACGATGGAAATTCCTCGAGGACACACCCTTTGACACTCAGATACCTCAAGAGCACTAGATTAGATATACCCCGTGGTAGTTTCTGTTCTTGAAAATTAATCCCATCAACATCAAGAATTCTGAGCACTCTGAAATCCTTAATATAAGCATTTCAAATTGCTTCCTGTTTCCACCAACAACTCGAAGACTCCGAACATTATTAGCAACTTTTTCATAAGCAACAGAAAGTTCATGGTCACCCTGATATACGACAAGTCGAGGTGGTAATGTTTCAGATGGGAGCGAACAATCATTTTCTCTTAAATTTACAATTTTGAGAAAACGTTTTTGTTCACCCCATGAGACACATAAGTTTTTTATTCCTCCAATAAAGCGGCAAGCCTTGAATTTCTTTTCAGTAGGAACTTCCTCTTGTGGCAACCCTATGATGTTAATATATGCCAGTTCTTTCAGATATTGTTCCATCAGGTCCATCATTCTCTCCCCTCTTAGCACGTTCTTTTGTGGATAAAAAAAAGCCTTCAATCAACCACAGATGAAACAACTTTTTGGTTTCTGTTTCTGCATCTTCTGAGAACTGACCCAAGTGAAGAAAGCACGGTTTCAAGTGATCTGATAACTCAGTGTTCATAAAAACCCGAAAAATCGAACCGAACCAAACCAAACCGACCAAAAAAACCGATACTTTTTGGTTTGGTTTGGTTTTGGTTTTGAATTTTAAAAACCGATCAAATTTGATTTGGTTTTGGTTTTAATCTGAAAAAACCGAACCAAACCGACTATAGGAGTAGCTATTTCTCAAAGGGCAATTGATTTGATAGTGTTACATTGGAAATGTGGTCGCCGGAATATGTGTTTGGTAGTGTATGTCTTATATTTAAGAAAAAAACGATAAATAACCGAAAAAACCGAAAAACCGACATAAACTGAATCGAGAAAAACCGACTTAATTGGTTTGGTTTGGTTCTAATATTTAAAAAACCGACTTACTTGATTTGGTTTCTTTTTAGAGAAAAACCGATCCAAACCGAACCATGAACACTCCTACTCACTATAAATTGTAGAAAAGAATGCAGATACATATGTTTGGATATTTTTATACACTATCTCCCACTCCTCCGCTCGTTTAGGTGCCAAGTAAAATGCAAGTTCCTTGATAAGCTGTGGCACGCCTTTACAAGATCCAACCATTTTCCTCACTATTACCATCTTTTCTTCCGCTAAACATTGTGCAAAAGTTAACTTTATCAGATGTCAGCTAGGAGTGAAGTAGAAAACAAAAAGCTGCTAAATTACATGATAATTAACATGTAAACTTTCCACTTAAAATATCATTGTTCACATTTTCTCGTAACAGAATGAGTTTAAGGTTTCTTCGACCATTACTGAATACTTTTAGACAACAGAACTTACTAAATAGTCTCCTGTTCTTTCTTGAGACGTCATGTCATAGACAGAAATAAGTGCGGAAGAGTTATAAACATAACAAGATCTTGAAGTTAAGCTTGTGTTAGTGGTGACAGCTCGATGTTTTAAGTTTGGAGGTGAAGAAATTCCAGGTACTGTGCCAAGACTAAATATTTAATTTCTAAAATTATATATTGATTTTCTTGCAGAAATAATGTAAAAGGATTGGTATTCTCTAACCCTAAAGATTCTCCACAACTTTTATTAACATTTACATCTCTAAACAGATTAAACTGACTCCTACCAAACACTGAACCTAATGTAAGCATATCGCCATGACTAATAGCCCGTTTGACCAAGCGGCAAAAATCAGCTTATTTTGAGAAGTGTTTTTTTTTCAAAAGTGCTTTTCTCAAAAGTACTTTTGGTGAGAAGCAGTTTGGGTTTGGTTAATTAGTTTGAAAAACACTTCTGAGCAGCAATTAGTGTTTGGCCAAGCTTTAAAAAACTGCTTCTAAGTGTATTTTTCTCAAAAAAGTACTTTTGGTTAAAAGCTACTTTTTTCTGCTTCTCCAAAACTGCTTCTGCTTCTCCTCAAAAGCACTTTTTTTCCTTCCAAAAGCTTGGCCAAACACCTCAATTTTTTGCCAAAAATGCTTTTGGCAAAAAGAAAAGCACTTTTGGCCAAAAAGAAGTTTGGCCAAACAGGCTATAAGCCTTAGTAACTAGTTGGTAGTGCCCATATGGATTTTTGCGTCCATTGTGTTAATGTTCAGTTTTTTCATTTAAGTTGCATGACTTTGAGAAATTTAGGTCTTTTGAAAAAACTCATGCCATGTGATTTTATGTCTACGGCGTCCCCATTTAACACATTCCATCATCATGGTTTTCTCCTCAAAAAGTAAGCTCCATTCCCCATTGGAGTAACAGTAGAATAAAGATCTGGGAATATCTTTATTAAAGGGCTATCACCTGTCCATTTATCTATCCACATCTTCACTCTTTTGCCATTACCAAGAATTGTACTGTGGCGAGAGGAGTTGGGGCGTATTCTTAGTATTATTTTGAAATTCTTATATATTACTGGGATTAATTTGACAGCTTGTTTGGATGGTTGTTAAGTGTTGTACCAACGAAAAGTGCTACTTTATGGAACGACCGATTTGGTGTGATCGCATCGTTACCTTATTTTTTCCCTCTCATCTTACCTTCCTTATTATTAAATAATTCTATTTTATCCTTTATCCTACCTTTCTATATAATAATTAGGCGGAATGGCTTCCTGGCCACTTAGACTTGTAGGGCATTTGAAAGCCGATATATGAACTTCAAATTTTCCCATTTGAACACTCGAACTCATGATTCTCTTAACTAATAAACACATTTGACCGTTGACCATGCCTATGTGGAGGAGGGGTCGATGACATGGCAATAATGCGTGCACATCACTTCTATTAGGCGCGTAACTTGTCATTTTGTTGACTAGTTTTTATAAAATAACAAAAGGACAACAAAGAAAAAAGAAAAAAAGCAAAAGAACGTAACCCTTGTTTCTTCCGTCACCCCCCCCCCCCCTCCAGGTCCAACTACATCTTTTTCACTCTCTTCTCTCTTTCATCCCATTATCCGTATGTGTTTCAGCATTAGGATAGGTATAATTCGATGATACTCATCAAATCCAGTTCCAAAGACACTTGTTTAGTAGAATTATTTTTTTTTGGTCACTTTCTTCTCTTTTTTCCTTTTATTAATAAAGTTCTCAACTTTATAATTCTCAAAGTGATTTGGGTTCCTGAATTTAATGACATGGGTCTATGTTAAAAGGCTTGAAATCAAGAATTCGGAAAAAATAAATTCAAAACAATTTTGCCTTTTTGATAATTTTTCTGTTGTGTAAATTGAGATTTGGATCTTTTTTGATAATACCATCGGAGAAGACGTCGGCTAAAGCATTTCGTCTAGCATCTTTCTTTTTAGATCTGCTCTTTGGATGGTTTTAAGAGTGAGAATTTCGAGAAAGAAAAAAGGGATAATCAGAGGATAGGGACTCAATTTTGCTGTTGACTTCTTTTTTCCGGTGATATGCCGTTCATGTTCTCTGATCTAATTGATTGCCGGTGTCAAAAAAGTGAAGCACTAATATTTTTGTGTCAATCTTTGTATAGTGGTCTAAGTGAGGAGACGATTATGAGTAATGAAGGAGGATTTTCAGAGAGTCATTTAAATGACAATAGCTTAGGAGATTTTGTTGGCAAAATTTGAAGGGTTTCCGGTTGTATTCCCATAGTGATGAAAGGATGCTTATGGGAGAAGAAGAGAAGGATAAAGGATTTTGAATTTTGATAAATTAATTTTTATAAAATGGTACATACTCATTACACGTGTTAAATAATAAAAGGCTTAAAATGTGACGTGTCATCTTTGTCAACGCAGTTGAGGATCACTCGTTGGTGGAGGCATTTATATATCCAATTTATCAAGTAGGAGTGTTCAAATGGGAAAGTTGCAAGTTTGTCTATCGGCTTTACAAATGGTTGCAAGTTTAAGTGGCCACGATGCCATTTATTCTTCATATTATTGGTGCATGACATCATGAAATGACAACAAACTATATCATCTATCCAATCATTGTATAATCAAAACGATACATTACAATACAATACAATACAATATATACTATACATTATAAAACGATACAGAACAACCATCCAAACAAATACTTGGTTATCTTTACTTTACCGACTACATGATAAGTTAACAATAAAATTATAGAGATAGTTTAAGATAAGTTTGGGTTGGGAAATTCACCAACCTGGATACTGGGGAGAGAACACTTGAGTAAACAAATCCCAGCTTTCGTACTCATTCAAGGTCCTCATATTATGGAAGTCATGCTTTTCAGATATGTATTCAGCTACAGATACTTCCCGGGTTGTCACTAGTATTTTGCTACCTTTCTTAAGCCGTGGCAATGTTATATGCAGCGTTTTCCAAGCTTCAATGGACCGTATGTCATCTAGGACAATTAAGCTCCTCTGAGATCTAAGGCTTTTGCTAATTTCTTCAAGCAATTGTTCTTCCGAGTTCGACATGTTTCTGTTCTTTCCATCGATCTGTTCATGTATTTGTCGAAGTATATCCTTGCTTTTACAATTCTCGGGTACATAAATCCAGATGCGATACTTAAAGTTACCAGTAACAAGCTGGTCATTGAGAATAACATTAGCCAGAGTTGTCTTCCCCGATCCAACAACTCCAAATATTGGGATGATCAAGACTCCCAAGTGGGAGGACGACTCGGGGATGTTGGACATCGAGTGAGAGGATGACTCGGGGATGTTGGGCACCAAGTGAGAGGACGACTTGGGGATGCTACGCACAGAGTGGAAGGACGACTTGGGGATGTAGGACACCAAGTGAGAGGACGACTGGGGGATGCAGGACTCTGAGTGGGAGGATGACTTGGGGATACACGACTCCGAATGGGAGGACGACTCGGGGATGCAGGACTCCGAGTGGGAGGACGACTTGGGGATACACGACTCCGAGTGGGAGGACGACTCGGGGATGTTGGGCACGGAGTGGGAGGACGACTCGGGGATGTTGGACACCGAGTGGGAGGACGACTCGGGAATGTTGGGCACTGAGTAGGAGGACGACTCGGGGATATTGGAGATGGAGTGGGAGGACGACTCGGGAATGTTAAGCACAGAGTGGGAGGACGACTCTAAGATGTTGGACACGGAGTGGGACGGCGACTTAGGGATGCAGGACACCGAGTGGCAGGACGACTCGGGGATATCGGACACCGAGTGGGAGGACGACTCGAGGACACCGGACACCGAGTTGGAGGACGAATCGGGGATACTGGACAACGAGTGGGAGGACGTCTCGAGGACACGGAACACCGAGTGGGAGGACGACTCAGGGATGTTGGACATGGAGTGGGACGACGACTCCGGGATGTTGGACACGGAGTGGGAGGAAGACTCAGGGATGCAGGACGACGACTTGGGGATCCAATACATCGAGTGGGAGGACGACTCGGGGATGCTGGCCCCGAGTAGGAAGATGACTCAGGGATGCCTAACCCGACTCCAGATAACGTAACTCCAAGCACTTTCTTCTTATCCTCCTCAATACCAAATAGTTGTTGGGGCAAAATAGGAGAACATCTCATTTGACCTTGATCTTCCTTCTTATTAACTGCATTATAAGCAATTCTGATTTGCTCGCAGTTGAGCTCAATATCGTATCTAATCTGCTGGAGTGTAAGTGCAGCATCTCTTATAAACATCGTTTTTATACCTTTAACTAACCCCATTTTAGACGAGCTTCCTCTTGATTTTTCCACAACATCCTCCATTCGATAAACGAGATATTCAATTCTCCTAACTCGCATCTCAATTTCCCTTGCGCCATTTGTATGTTGTTGATTCTTATTGTTGCCTTTTAACAAAAGTTGCAACCGATTTAGCTCTCCTGATAAAGCATCTAAATGTTCGGTTACTGATAAAATCGATGGAGCTGATTCTTCTGCCAAAACTAAACCACGCAGCCTTTCTCGGGCTAGCCAGAGCAATAGCTCCGACATAGTAGTAGTAATAGTAGTCAATGCCAGGTATTTTTTTCGTCTGCTTTTTTTCAAGATAGAAAGTCACTTTTAATAAAGGGGAATAATATATAAACGGACCCTCAAACTTGGCCTTAGTTGGCAAGTATGCCCTCAAACTTTGAATGTGCACAAGTAGGCACCTCAACTTGTATAAAGTTGAACATGCAAACACAAATGCTGACGTGTCACTGGCACATATATTTTGGATGTGCCTAGATGATCATTTTGTAAGTTGGTGTGTTCAACTGAGAAAGTAGAGATAAGTTGAAGTGTCTACTTGTGCACCCCCAAAGTTGGAGGGCATACTTGCCAGTTGAGGTCATGTTTGAGAGCGTGTTTATGTATTATGGGACAATTACAAATATTCCACTTTGCAAAAATTGTAAAGCAGTGCGACATAATAATCTACGTTGTCATTAAATATTATGGTGGACATAATATTGTATCGGTCAGAAATCTGACCAATCGACCGTCGTGATATCGACCCCGTCTCAAGTACGCTCCCCAAAGCAATGACCAGCGAACCTGACCTCGCCCAATCCGCATCAAATACGAAGCAAGCGTTGAGGTCGCCCCCTCTACCTGGTCGACCAAAAGAAGGCCCAATGGGCGTGAGGCCCCAACTATAAATAGGGAAAAAAAAAGAGTTATTTTAGGGGGGCTGCTCCAGATATTTTGGGGCATTCTCTCTCTCTCTCTCTCTCTCTCTCTCTCTCTCAAGAAAGGAAAAAGAATATCCCTTCTCCAAAAAGAAAAAGCCCCGGAAGAGGAGAGATAAACGGATTCCCTGAACCTCTCCCAAAAAAAAGGCAGGATCGATCTGGAGAATAGAAAATGGATTACTATTCCCTGAACCTCTCCAAGGAGAGGCAGGGCCAATTTTCATGATCAATAAAGTCTCTTGAATGTCATCTCTATTACGTCTGCTATCCTGTTGCTTCAGTTCTTAATTCGTTATTAATTATGGTTGGCTATGATTTACCCCTTTTTATACATTTGATTGATTTGCTTAAATATTGTTCGGCGCAATATTTTAAGTCAAACAATTTGGCGCCGTTTGTGGGGATTTCCTAGCAAGAACTCTTAGTTCTTCCCGAATCAAAGGAAAAGCATCAAGAGGATAGCTCGATTCAAACCAGAATCGACGGAAACGCGCCAAACAGAGAAGATGGAGAAGCCGTCCCTCGCTATAACTCCCACTCATATTCCCCGCCGCGTCAGGCCGGAAAACGGCGCAAAAGCACCGCAAACGAGAAATCGAAAATGAACCTGGAACAATTTGAATGTCTTGATCAAGCAGATGAGCGTAACGCGAACACAACATGTGATGCAGGCTAAACGCCTTCGCCATCAAAACAGTATAGTTCGACCTCGCTCGAATTGGGACTCAGGCTAAATGCCTTCGCCATCAACAGTGCAGTTCGACCTC